TGTTGTTGTATTATGTCCGTTAAAACTACTGAATAGTTTGGAAAAGTAATGTATATGATTCACCGCACTTGCGTCTGTATATTACTGAAAATTGTAACTTATATATGTTCTTATATTCTGCCACGTTCACTAGTTTTGGGCTTGCGAGTTTCATATATATATATATATATATATATATATATTTGGTTTAAATGACGAGTTACCCAATCCCTACGATTTTTTTTTTGGGCTATCAGCATAGTGTTTTCATTTTTCATTCCTTTTCTTGGGCTCTGCATCTGGGTTGGAGACAGATATTCAAACAATGGAGCTCCATAATTGGGTTTGTGTGTTTGTTTGCATTGCATGCGTGCATTCGATTTTGATAGAAGCATAATGAGAAAATTACATGGCATGTCATCGAAATTTAAAATCTGTACATTTATATTACTAAACATTAATAAATTAGATACTTTTAAGTGAATTTAGTAGCGTAGATTTTAAGTTTATATGTTTAAGTGGCATAAATATAAAGATGACGTTATTTGAGTTGCATTTCTCAAATTTTCCCAAGAGTAATGTTGAAAAAAAAAAAAAATTTAAATCTACTAGATGATGCGTGTGGGGGATCGTTTTCTTTAGCTCTCGGCTTGTATTTCTTTGGAACAGCTTATTTTTTTATGAGAGAAAGAGGGAAATAAGTTAAGACTTGAGATGAATTAAAATTAATAAGTCAATAGTTTACATAAGTTAATAAATAGATCAGATTACTGTTTTTGTCCATAACTTGTCTGGTTATAAACCATAACTTGATAAGTTATTATCTATAATTCACGGTTTTTATCTATAAATTGTCTGATTATGAACCATAACTTGATAAATTTATCTATAACTTATCTGATTATGAACCATAACTTGACAAGTTATGATTTATTAATTTTTATAACTAAAAATTAGCCTATATACTTTTTTAAACTTTTCATATTGATTTATTTTCTATTATTTCCGTTTTTTTATTTCATTGGATCCGAGTGGGGGCGCTTGGTATAAAATAGAAAATCTAACAATTGTCAACTTAATTAAAACGTGTTGCTAGTATCTCCCTCTCTTCATATTTATTAAAAAAGTAAAGCTCTATGGGGAGATGAAAAATAGTTCAAATCAAGATTTTATTTGACTTTAACAAAAAAAAAAAAAAAAGATTTTATTTGTGAGTGTGGTACTGGCTAATGGGGAAATCATAACCCTCCAACAAAAAAAAAAAACTTCCCATTTCATTTTCTTCTATGACATTTGATAAAAAGATTTATATCATAATTTAAATCATAATTCATAATTTATTATAATATTTTTTTTATAAAAAATATACATAAATTAAAAATAATTTTAATATTATAATTTTAATTTATAAACTAAACGTCTCTTTCTATTCAATAAGAAGAAAATACAAAAGGAGTAGTTTTCCCTTTTTCAATGTTAGGTAGCCTCACAAAGTAGCTAGTTTGGTATATGGTTGTGGTTTTTCAAATCCCAATCAACTGTCAAAAATAATTTGCAGCTGAGATACTATTACAGCTGTTCAAAGCCGACCTACCTCATTTTTATATAGCTATGACACAACCAACTCATTATTTTGAGCTTCATGATTATAAAAGTTCTTCAACAGTAGATCTCATACGAATAGTAGAGTACGATATTTTCAACCGTTTAATTTAGTTAAAATCAAATTAAAATTTTAAATATAAAAAGTAAACAACTTTTTCTATTGATCACGATCCTGTGTTTTTCATTAATTTAAATTTAAAATTTAAGTTTTATAACATTAAAATGTTTTCAAAAATAATAATATTTATTATTTTATTATAATAAAAAATTTTCACATAAAATTATATATTAATTTAAATTAAAAATTTAAATTAACAAATTAAATGTGTGTATATTACTTTTACAATTACACAAAAATCTATGCAACTATAGAGTTTAATTAAAAGGCGGACAAAAAGCACTTTGTACAAAAGACTAATGCACTTTTTAAATTATTTAAAGAAGTTAGAGTTTGTAGGCTTTAGATTCGGCTTCCGCTTCTAATTTTTACTTTAAGTAAAAATAGTGATTTTCTTAAAAGCACAACAATCTTAAATTCACTTTTTAACCGTTAAAAATAAAACATGCTGATAGTTAATTTTTAAGAGAAAAAATAAAAAAAAATGTAATTATTAAAGTAACATTATTTTATTTTTATAACTGTTATAAATTTATCTTATATCATTAATAATTTATAGGTTATTTTTTCATAATTTATAAATTATCTTTCGTAACATGTTGGTTAATTTTCATTACATGTTAGTTATTTTTCATAACATGTTGGTTATCTTTTCATATTCTGTAAATTATCTTTTTATAATTTATAGATTATATTTCGTAATTTATAAAGTTATTTTTTGTAATGAAATTAAAAATATTTTATATAATGACATAAACAATAGACACAAAAAATAATGATTAAACATGAAATTTTCTACACAGAAATCTAATATATAGGAAAAAAAATTTCTCATAAAAATTGTGATATGTCGGTCTCACAAGTCACAATACCTTTTGGGAACGGGCAATCTTTTGTGGAAAATGTGCAAGGAAATGGAAGAGACTCGACAGAAGAAGATAGGCAGTTGTCTTACGGTCCATTTTGATGTTCATGTTATAGACACTATTCTCTCTATTCATTTCAAGATGTTCTGTTCAAAAGATTCCCCGTGTTGTTTTTTTTTTTTTTTTCCAAATAACTGAAAAGACTTAGACCTTGTTCATTTCACCGATTTGAGTTTTCAATTTTAAGTTTTTACACTAAAAAATTCTCAAAAAATGTAATATCTAATTTTTTCTGCTACAGTGAAAAATTCTCAGAAAATGTCACATCTCAGCTCGAATTAAAAACTCGAATTCGCGAAGTGAACGAGACCTTAGTACTCTTCAAGTCACATGCAATATAGTAGCAAAAAAACAAAAAACAAAAAAAGCCATGTGATGCAATATATTGGAGAAACATCTACTGACAGAAAGGAAATAGTGGGAGGGTTGTTTAGTTCGTTGATTTAAATTTTTAATTCGAATTAAGATGTTATTTTATATGAAAATTTTTTATTGTAATAAAAAAATTAAATGTGACTGTTTTTGAGAGCTTTTTACTGTAATAAAACTCAAATCGGTGAAATGAACGAGACATTGTGTTTGATTTAATTTCAAGTACTAGAAATTATTTTATTCAGCTTTTTTGAGTTCAAATGGAATAAACTTAATTAGCAGAATAACTTAAATTTTTCGTAAAAGATTTGGCTTTAATTAATATTTAATCAACTGTTGTAATTCTTTGCAGATATATATTTTTCTATTATTACAATTTTGAGAGGTTAATTACGTGGAAAGATTCAATAAAAAAAAAAAGGTTAAGCGATGCCTGTGCCCAATTGCCATTTCATAAATTGTACTATTCATAAATAAAGACTTCTATATATGCACATTTTTTTGTACAAAATACTTGGAAGATATGAGTAGCTAGCCATTATTAATATCGTACAATGCATCTCCATTGAATAGAGAAGAACCATGGCTTCCACATGTGATCTTAACATTGTAGACCCGTTTTAGCAAGAAAATAAATTAATTATCTACACATCATACAATTATCTTATATATATATATATATATAATAGCCGCAACTTCTTATAATCATGTATCAGTCCCAACTTTGTTACCAAATTTTTCAAGAAAGAAAACGTCATATTAAGATTTATAATCTACATTTATTATTTTTCTTAACTCAATGATGAAAATCAAGTTAAAATTCGTTCGTTATTATATATAACAATACCATAGGGAGAAAAATGAGAATTTTACACCACTATACTAGGGGTAATTATTGTACTTCGAAAGTCTATGATCATGGGCTGTGTCTCTTTGTTTCCTTCTTGAAGTGAATGATCATAAACTTTCTTACTTCATAGTACATCTTTGTCATATATTCTCACTATTAGAAATTTGTCGGTAAAGCTCAGATAATTTAAATTAATTAATGTAAAAGTGTCACCATCCATCACCAGTCAGTCGATGCTAGGCCAGCGATGAATCGTGATGAGAAAACATAACGTACATACATACATATCATATCATATTTACACATTTTTTTCCATACAAACTTGTTAGATCTGAGTTAATTACGTTCAGTTGCTCGAGTAAAATAAAGTGCAGAAAATAAAGGAACACACAATATGATATCGCAGTTCGGTGCGCACACCTACTCTGCGGGGTCACGCCCAAACAATAAACAGTTCACTATATTTCAAAAATTACAGACACTGGACGGACTTATTCACTCAAGAACTCCCTCCTAGACAACGACGCCGCTGTAACGAATCCCCACAGTGATTTGTTTAGCGTACACCACACGTCTTCTTAACTGCACGGTGAACTCCCTTCGACCGACAGAGCTTCCTCCTGAAAGCAACAAATCCCTCTCCCGAAGGACGATCTCAATAACGCACAAGGCTCACAAAAACTCACAGACTCTTTTCTGAAAATATTCTATTAAACCCATATTCTCTATAGTTGAAACCAAAGCCTTTTAATAATATCTCCAAAAGATCACGAGAATCTAATTTAAAACTAAAGCTCCGATTCTCTTTATATTTTTCCAAAATCTTCTCCAGCCATCTCCACGTCAATGCCTCCACGCACACATATATCTATACAATGACTTAGATATCACATTGGCTCCAAGTTAATCTCCCGTAAAATCCAAATATATATATGTATATATATAGATTTTTCTTTGGCCAAATCAATCTTGGATTACAATTCGAATTCACTTCAAATTCGAATCCAACCAAAAGCCAAAAAACTGGATAATCATCACAATAAAATCTCGACATAATCTTTTTGATCCTTATCTCTTTTGATCCTTATCTCATTCTAGAATCCCATTTAAATTCAAATAACTAATGCTTTATCTTTATCTCTCCAAATCTCAACCAATGTCTTATCTTTCTTTGACCAAGCCTTTATCCTTATCTCTTCAAATCTCAACTCAACAAAATATGCATCTGTAACTTCAAATCTGATTCGAATTCTTCTTCTGCAATCT